TTCCTTCCGAGGAGTGGCTGGTGGGTTTGAACCGCCAGCCGTCTGGTTAGCAGGCAAGTGTCTTAGCCACTATGCTACCAGAGCTCCCTAAAAATACTTATATAAGTACTTAAATGTGTTAATGAGCAGATAGCATTTTTGTATGTAGGATTAAAATTTACATAAATATTATTATATAAGAAGTATCAAAATATCATTCTGCATGTTGCCTGTTTCACTTAACGAATTGTTGACTGATGTTCTATAACCACAGAGGAACCTGAATATATCCTTCCAAACATGAAACTTTGTTCAGTTAATATAAATATAGAATTCCATTATCAATACTTTCAAATTTCCTGCTTAGAATATGTTCTTTTCTCCTTACAAAATTCTAGACTGTCCATGTTTGTACTCTTCGTTGTAGTTCTAGCTCTCTCTATTTTATATAAAATATGGACTTAAGTAGTAAAGGAAATACTAGAAATAAGGAATTAAGAAAAAGGAAAGGAAACAAAAAAAGAGAACTTGTCAAGCTAAAATAGATAAGAGTACTGCTGATGATTGTGATGACCTCACAATGTCTATTGTGAGATAAAGTCAATGAGGAACTATTCACTGACACTGGGAATTGGGTTTTTTTGGCATTGGAGAAAGAAGAAAGAAATATAAGATAAAGTTAAATAAAAGCTCTCTGATCCTAAATTTGAATTATAAGTATCAGTATCAACTTAAGAGCATATTCCATTTCTGACCTCTGAAAAGGCTTAGAAATAAGAACTAACTTAGCACAAAGGAGCACCCCTAGTAACCCAATGTCAGTTGCCCTTGAGTCAATCCCAACTCAAGGTGACCCAATGTTTATAAGAATAGAACCGTGTTACATAGGGTTTTTCAAAGCTGATTTATTGGAAGAAGATCACCAGTCCTTTCTTTTGAGGTGCCTCCAATCTTTTGGGAATGGTATCATTTCAGTTGGAAACATTTCAGCCTGTATCATTTCAAAGTAATCTGGTGGAATGAGACATAAGTAGGAGTGTAGATGAAACAAGAAATCCTGGTGGTGTAGTGGTTAAGGGCTTGGCTGCTAACTGAAAGGTCAGCGGTTTGAACCTACCAGCTGCTCCATGGGATCTACTTCCATGAAGATCTACAGCATAAGAAACCCTATGGGCAGTTCTACTCTGTCCTACAGGGTTGTTATGAGTCAGATTCAACTTGATGGCATGGTTTTTTTTTTTTTTTTACTGCCTTATAAAACATACCAAACTCAAAAGCATATTCTGTAGTAGAAAGACAGGTAGGTGTTTTAGATGCAGACATCCAACATAAGAAAAACACCAAACCCACTGCTGTCAAGTCAATCCGACTCATAGTGACCCCCACTGGGTTTCCGAAGTGGTAAATCTTTATGGAAGTAGATTGCCCAGTCTTGCTTCCGCGGAGTAGCTGGTGAGTTTTAACCACCAACCTCTGGTTAGCAGTCAGATGCCTTAGGCACTGTGCTACCAGAGCTCCTATCCAACATAATAAAAGTGTACAAATCTCAAGAATTTATGAGAAAATCATCTTCCTGACTAATCACTTTTCACAAGCTAGGTAATCAAATGGACTTGCCATGTTGCCCTTCATCTATATTTACGTAGCAGAAGTGATGGACTTGAAGCACTGCTTCAGTCCTAACAGATGAAATGGATTACTGCATGATCAGTTTGGATAAGAAGGAAAGATGTCCCTAGAGTCTCAAAAGAAGAAATTGGGCACAATGTGGTAAACTTGATTGAATGAAGGCTTTCTTTGTAAACATGGTTTTATTTTAGTTCTCAAAGTATTTTATAATCAAACATAAAAATACAAAATAAATGACTAATAAGGATTTCATGATCTCATCTATTTGCTTAGTGGTAGAACAGTTAATACATAAAATGAAAATACAAATAAATATTCCTAAGTATTAAAATGAATAGTTTTGTGTTTTGTAGGATACCCACCATCTCTCCCCACACCCTCCCAAGCCTAGCTATAGACTTGCTGGTTTCGACAAGCAAAACACAAATAGAACAGGTGCCTTTGTTATCGTTGCAGGTGATTTCTGGCACCTGCTTGGACACCAGCTGTGTGCTAATTTAATCTTGTGATTACCTAGATTACCAAATACTACAAAGCTGGAAATGCTTCTTCCAGCTTCTGGAGGAATGTGTCTGCATGTTGGCTGACAGATGTCTGTGGGGGACACCAAGCTGTGTAATAGTCTGTATGGTGAGTTCTGCCAGATGCAAAGTAAGAAGTAGCTGCATGAGCATATGTGTCTGAGGCAGTTTGAGGTGTCTGGGTGGAGGGGGCTCTAGAGAATGCAGAGCAAAATCCTCCTCTGGCCTAGTGATGCTGACATAAACAGATGTCCAGTGTCTGCTCATATATCCAAGTGCCATCTTTGGCTTATGTATTAGTCAGTAACAGCATGCCCATCATAGTTGAGCCCTACCTTACAACAGTGCTTCATATAGCTCTTCATGTCCATTTATGTAGCAGAAATACTGGAACTGAAGCACTGCTTCAGTCTTAACAAATGAACTAGGTTATTGCATCATCAGTTTGGACAAAAAGGAACATGGCCTGTGAGCTCTCAAAATAAGAGATTGTCAGTGTGTCTAATTTGGCTGCAATGAAGGATTTTTTCCCAACCATGCCTTTATTTTAGTCCTCAAGGCATTTGAAGATCAAACATATAAAAATATAAAACAAAATGTTCACGTTTTGCTTTCTTTCAGAAAGTCGGATAAAATGGACGGATTGTAATAGGAAAATGAAAATAACTTACCTGAAGACAGCAAGGGTCAGAGACCAGAGTACTAATGGCTTCCTCAGTTCAAACTTTGCCCGTTTATTCATTAGGTGCCGACCACCAAATATAAAAGCAGCATACAGAGCGGAAAACAGGAAAGATTTCTTCCTGTGAATAAACAAATAAACAAAACCTTGTGAAATAAGAATCTTTAAGCAATTAATTTTATTAGTTAGATCATATCAAAGTTTATATCAGTTTTCCTCTTTAGAAGCTTTGCAAACATGTACTCTTTCACTGAAAAAATTTTTATTTTTCAAAGTTTGCAAAGCCAATTTTGATAGATTATTTAAAAAAGGATTTGATTTAATTGGAAATAAAAATAATGGTGGCAGGATTGTGTCTTGGAAAAATAAAGTCAATAGGCTAATGATACTGCAAGTTTACCCTGGAGTAATACCAGATGATCTAAAACATTGAAATGCAAGTTACATGACATATAGCTTCCCCAACATGGATTCTTGAAATCCTTTCCACTAAAGAAGGTATGTATTAACCTTCAATATTATTATTAATAACAGGCACAATTGCCAGACATACAATGCAATAGGAAGCACTCTGAATTACTTATAGAGTACACTTGCACAAAAATTTGAACTTGAATCTAATCAAACCTCTTGATCTGTTTATAGGAAATACAGGGGATAAATGATACACATCTTGAGAAAGCAATCAAACCCAAAATGTGGACATTCAGCAGGACACCTGAACTTCAACAAGTCAGTAGCATGAGATAAAAATCTGGGCAGGTTTCAGAGTTAGAGACATAATAAGTATATGTATAACATTTTGGGATCCTTATTTGACCAATTGTAAAATTACACTTTTAATATGATCAGAAAATTTTAATAAAAAATGATAGGTATAACCTTAATCCATTGCCATCAAGTCAATTCTGACTCACAGTGATTCTATAGGCCAGAGAGGAACAGGCTCATAGGGTTTCCAAGGCTGTAAATCTTTATGGAAGCAGACTGCCACATATTACTTCTGCAGAATGGTTGGTGGGTTCAAACCAATGAAGTTTTGGTTGGCAGCCGAACACTTAACAACTGCACCAATTGGGATCCTTTGCATGTACAGGTGATACACTTTGCATGTATAGGCAATACAAAAATTATTTTTAATTTTATTCAAACAAAACTAAAAAAATACTGTAGGTGGATAGATGAAACAAAATTTACAAAACAGATGATGGAACACAGGTTTATTATTCTCTTTCTCTGCGCATGTTTAAAATTTTCATAGTAAAAATTTTTTTAAAAGATTACATTGTGGAAGAAAATATCTGCATCAGAAATGTTTTCAGTGAAACATCTGACAGGGCAATATCTCAAGACGTTCAATGCTGAAACAGCTATTTTTTGGGCCATAGACTTTAGCAATCAGGTTTTGGTAGAGAGCTCGGTTGGGAATAAATAAGCAATATAAAATAGAATCTCCAGGTCCCAATAAACCTGCTTGGTCACTGCTGTACAAACTAGAAGCAAATGATAGGATTGATGATGCTAAAAAGAAAGAAAAATAAATAAATAAATAAACACGCTTTAAAAGGACTTTGATTCAACAGAAAGCAACTAAGACCTTGCAAATAATTGAAGCTTCTGACCACATTCTCCGAAAATAAAAATGTTTCTCTTAAAGTGGGTATTCCCAAATCAATTAGATCAGTGACAAAGGGGTAGACAAGTTAAAAGATACAGTGCAAAAAGCCAAATGTGTTGACCTAAAGACAGTTATTTGTAAAATCTACTTTTTTCCCTGTTGATTTTATTGCTGATTCACAAGGGATCTGATAACACATTATTTACACAAGCAGCACTCCTACTTAGTGAATACAGTGACCTACTTGGTGAGCATCATCAAATAAAATGATGAACCAAACCAAACTCATTGCCATTCAGTCGATTCCTACTCACAGCAACTCCCATTGGGTTCCCAAGGTGATAAATCTTTACGGAAGTAGACTGCCCCATCCACTTCCGCAGAGCGGCTGCTGGGTTTGAACCATCAGCCTTCTGGTTAGTGGTCAAATGCCTTAGGCACTGCTCCACCACAGCTCCTTAAATAAAATGATGATTCTAGAAATTAACCCATAAATGAGCATCAAGGAAATCTCAGTGAGGTTTGCAAAAAAATTCTATTCTTGGGCATCTAAGACAGACACAGTGGTTTCATAAAAATTTGTCGAATAAAAATGGTGCTGTCATATCAAATTTTCTGATAGGGAAAATAATTGTATACCTATGCATAGTGTAGGTGCTCTGTAAACCCTGCACGAATGAGTTATACTTTTCCAGTAACAGTAATAAATAAAGTATAAAATATTTGGAAGAAATGTCTGATATATTTCCTCCACTAGAAAGACACATTCTTTGTATACTTCAAAGAGTGCAAACGGTTAAGAATTTGAATATTAGCCTACAGTTTGGGAGTCTGAATCCACAAGATGCTTCTATGAAAGCAGGCCTGGAAATCTGCTTCCAAAAGATCATAACCTTGAAATCCCTATGGAGTAGTTCTATTCTGCACACACAGAATTGACTCAGTGGTAACTAACAATAATATATTTCAAAAAGGAGAGGAATTGAGGCAGTTTTATGGAAATTTTAACTACGAAATATTTCAGGAAAAAAGCACTTTTTGCCATAAACATATTACCTATTGCTTCATTTCTTCACAGAAATTTGTAAGTGCATGGCCTAAAGGTACTTGAGAGATGGATTTACTATCTGCATTTATGCTTTGAAAAATGAAAAGGAAATTCCACACCTTAATGTTTCAACTGTTATATTTGCTTGGCCTGGAAAACTTTCAGCCAAACCTTCACCTCCTTGAAAACACAAATTAACTATACATAGTACTGAAAACATTTCCTTATAATTATTTTCCCTTCTATTATTCATTCAATATAACTCAGATTTTGTTTACAGTTGTATTAATTTTGTTACTTGCAATTATGAATCATGTTAAATGAATGTCTTTATACGATCCATTACAAACCTTAAGGGGAAAATAATAGGCCTTGAAAAACCAAGAAAAAAATCTTTGCTTTATATTTTTCTCTAATTCTCTCAGTTCTTGAATGAGAATCAATCCTAATGCAGTGCTGACTTCATACGAAGGAATATTGTCTTTTCTTTTACCAAACCTCTCTTTATATACCATCAACACAAAAGCTAAAGCAACCAAGCCGTCAATACAGAATCACAGAATTTGAGACTGCAAAGGCCTTTAGTTGCTTGTGGCCACAGAGCCAGGCCTCTCTGACTCCCAGGATTTTATTCTGTACGTTTCTGCATACAGCACATTGGTCAACACCACCCAAAACTGTCATGGCTGTGATCAAGCAATTCAACATACACTACATGTCTGGGCTATATTTGGGTCACAGACAGTCAATACTGCAAGTTGATATTTGTCTGATTAGGTGTAAGGGCTGTTATAAAAATTAGCTGTTTATTGTATATCATATAAATCTTCTACTGTGGTGAAATTCAAGCAGTCCTTTGGATTAGTTTAGAATTAAGTAAATTCAGTCTTATTCTGAAAGAAGGAGTCATGAACTCTTATCTCTTCAAATGAGTAATAAAAATATATCATTTATGGTTTAATGTATTATTATTTTTCCCATTTTGATTATTAAAAGATAAAATTTTCTTTAGCCAACTGTGTAATTTGAGAGCATTATAATTGTCTTGCCTTTCTAGAATCTCTTTGGTAAATGTCTAATTATAATCAAGATGAATAATGGCCTGCCACTAGCTCATTTAGTGTTTAATATGGACAGATCATTTCCTTAATGCCTCAATGGTAATCAAGTAATATTTCATATGCTAGCAGGCCTCCATAGCTGGGTATGATGGTAACACTACACTGCTTTATCATCAGATAATTAGTAATTTCTAGATGGCATGGACTCTTGTTTAACAAATGCTAAATCTACATTAATAGCATACCCTTCTCTGTAGATGTTTAACAAACACTTTTCAGGTAATGCACAAGTACTAACTAACCAATTATATAAAAATCACTCAAATAAAATATGATGTATTTTGAGTTTGTTATGCTTATATATTTTTTATTTTAAAAAGCATTGGGGTAAAATACATATAATATAAAATTTATCAATTTTTTTAAGTTTACAGTTCAGTGACATGAATTACATTCATAATGTTGTGCAACTATCACCACTATCATTTCTAAAATTCATTCTGTTTTTATACCAAATGGAATGGATTTATCTTCTCCCCCTTCCATTTTTTGTCATCTAGTGCAGCATCCTTAGGGATCTAGATTTCTCTATCACATTACTTTGTTTCAAAACATTCCAAAAGGATGCTTTCTATTCGTACCAAAGTAGCTGAATGAGTCCCTGCTAATGGTTTCTATTATTGCTCTGTCCAGTAACGCTTCTGAAAGATCAAGGATAAACTCAAATACTTTTATACTGCATTTTTCAATTCATGTGATTTACTGGAACCAGCATTGAGCATGAGTCTCTTGAGCACAGACATCAAGATTCTGCCAGCTATACTGTACTCCTTGAAAAGAGTCAAACAAGTCTATTTAAGAATGATGGAACTTTTATCATACATTTCAGTGTAAGATAATTCATGATGTAACACTTTGGGAACATGGCTTGAGCTGCTTCTCAACTGTTTCATGTTATGTCTCAATGACTTTGTTTTATTTTCCCTGTATATGTGTAAAGGAGCTCTGGTGGTGCTGTGATTAACAGCTTTGCTGCTAACCAAAAGGTTGGTGGTTCAAGCCCACCAGCTGCTCCAAGGGAGAAAGATAAGGCAGTCTGCTTCTGTAAAGATTTACAGCCTTGGAAATTCTATGGGTCAGTTCTACTCTGTTCTATCAGGTCACTATGAGTTGGAGTCAACTCAATGGCAGCGGGTGGGTGGGTACATGTGTATGGTACGAGAAGTTGTGAAACTGACAATCTAGGTATTCTAAATTTGTGTGGGAGAAAGGAAAAAGTAAAAGCACCACTCGCTTTAGACAAAATTAGTAGACATATGCCTACTGCACAGAAAGTTCTTATGTCCTGTGTCAGATCATCTGAAGCTGAGAGAGAATGCTAACTGGGGAGACCA